GGCTGTGGGTGACTCAATCCAGACACACTGGCAGTGGTTGGAGCCTCTGGAAGAAATCTATAGGAAACCCACAGGACAACAGGAGCTCTGGAGGCAAAAGCAGGCCCGGGAAGTGGGTGGCCTCCCTGACCTCTGGTGCCTTTCACAGAGCCTGTTTTCTCCCAGCAGTGTCTCTTCCTCCTGCTCCATGCCCACACAGAGGACACCAGGCCAGGACCAGGCTTTGTGCAGTTCAACGCAAGGCAGGCCATGGCCTGGAGAACAGGGCAGAGCCAGCATGCCAGGGGCTGAAGACAAAGGCAGAACTTGTGTCTGGGCTCTTCAGGGGAAATCTAACTTGTGTTTCCTGTTAGGATCACTCTGGGTGGAAAACAGGACTAAAGAGGAGAGGAGTGAGGACCTTGAAGGAAGAGGGAGAGCTGGGCTCTAGGGAAGGGCAGGGACACAGGGTGTACTTACCCAAGTGTCCTCTGGCCTGGGCTCTTCCGCTAACCTGTAGCAGCATGGACAGAAACAACACACTGAGATCACCACCTCCTCTGAGCACACCCTCATGATGCACCGACTTGTGGGCTTCGGGTTTGGTCCCCCCCACCCCCCATCAGTTATTAAAATGGCAACTCTGCCCAACTAGATAGGGTAATAGGGATAGATCACCATCACTACAAACAGCAACTGTAACTGGCACAAAGTGATGTGGGGACCAATGTTCTCCAGTAGAATAATAATAATTACAATAGTGAAAAAGAAACAAAATGCCTTTAGATTAGGGAGCAGTTCCATCTGGTTTTGCAAGTCAAAGAGGTGAAACTGAGTTTGATAAGCACCATATTGTTTTCCTGAAGATATATCTGCCTTGGAATGAAAAATGATGCTTGGCTTAAAACCTTCAATATTGTCTGGTCTCCCCCCATACCTAAAGCCTCACAGAGGGCTGGTCCTGTCACTCTTACCAGTTAGACACTAGAGTTCTATAAGTGGGTAAATGAGATCTACAAGCCGCCAACACTGTGGATGGCAGGTTTTGGGAGAGGAGGTTTTGAAAGACAGGGGAACATCAAATGAGACTCTGGAGCAGCTGAGAGAACCTGGGGGTTCTGACATAATGTGGAGGAAGTTATGCTGGTCTGTGCTTCATCTATGTAGGCGTCTTTAGAAATGATCCTGACTCAGGGTGATAGGGGACTCAGTGGAGCAGAAACAGTCCCCAGGACACAGGCTGGAAATGAAAGCCAGCGTGGAGAAATGAGAGGCCCCAGAGAGTTTGTCCTCCAAGTCTTTAAAGAGTGCCCATTTGACTCTTACTGTTTTTGCATGAAAACATCCTGGTGGTGCAATCATTAAGTGCTTGGTGGCTAACCATGAGGTTGGAGGTTCAAACCTATCAGCCACTCATTTTGAGAAAGATGTGGCAGTTGGCTTGCATAAAGATTAAAACTCTTATCATTGGTACGTCAATTTTGACCACTAGCAACAACCCTCTAGGACTGTGGTGTTGGAGAAGAGCACTGAATATCCCATGGACTGACAAGAGAACAGACAGGTAAATCTTGGAGAAGGTGTAGCCAGAGGGCTCCTTGGAGGCAAAGATGATAAAGCTTTGCCTCATATACTCTGAGCAGGCTTCTAGGAGATGCTATATTCCTTAGAAAGGATCATCCTGCTTGGAAAGGTCAGCAAAAGAGGGAAACCCTCAACCAGGTAGACTGACACAGAGACTGCAGTGATGGGCTCAAGTGTGTCAGAGATTGGAAGGATGGCTCAGGATAGGACGGGGTTCCGATCTGTTGTTCATATGGGTTGTACCTGACTTGATGTCACCTACCATGAGGATAGAGAGGTCTGAGGAGAGCCTCCCCGCAGCGTTTCCAAGGCTGTAATTTTTATTGAAAACGAACTGTCTCATCTTTTTCCTGCAGAGCAGGTCATTGGCATAAACAGAAAAGGTTCAGGTTAGCAGGCAAGCGCTTTGACTGCTGCACCCTTGGAAAGTTGACAGCTCTGGCGGCCCCTTGGGGGACTACTACTCTGTCCTAAAGGCTCACGGAGAGTTGAAATTGACCCCAAGGCAATGGGCTTGGTTTGGTCTTTGCATTGAGTAAATTATGCTTGCTGGACCATGTGATGAGCAAGCTGTGTTTATTTTATGTCAGCAGGATCTTAACACCAAAAAAGTAATTTCTCTTTTTTCTCTCTAATTAGTGTTGTGTAAAATCTTAGGCCTTGTTGTTATGTGTAGTTGAGTCGCCTGCGACTCACAGCGACCCTATATACAACAGCTCTGAATTTTGTCCTCTTCTGAGCCAGTCTGTCTCCGATACACCTAATCCAGTTATCCCAGTCACGGTTTCCAATCCATCTTATCTGGGGTCTATCCTCTTCCAAGCTGTCCTTCCACCCTCTCTAGGGCCTGGTCCCTCCTGGCCACATGCCTCAAGTATGTGAGCTTGAAAATCCTTGCTTCCAAGGAGTGACTTGAAGCTATCTTAAGCCTACATCATGGCACAGAATCAGGAGGTCCTTGCATAAAAGAAAACCCATAACTTCTCCCAGTGTTAACATTTTAGCAGTAAGAGCACTCTTAGGACAAACAGGATGTAGAAAGTAAAATATTAAAATACAACAAAAAACCAAACCCTCCCCACTTTTCACCCCAACTCTTTGCACTCTTCCCCCCAGAGGTGGCACCTAAAAACCACAGAAAAAGCCACAGAAACAAAAATTCAGGCATTCTCACACAAGGAGTGCACACACACACACACACACACACACACACACACACACTGCTCACACCTGGGATTGCGCGTTAAAGTGAAATAAGGAGATATTAAGAAGAGGCACAGACAGAGATGTTGACTGGGTAACACTGGAGCATAGACGACCCCGGTACCCACAGGTTGGGGGGAATCAAACCCCATTTATCTCTGAGATGCAGCCTGTCTGAGTCCAGGGCCAGGGTTGAGGGCTCAAGTCCACAGTCAGGGCAAGGCACATGGGGCTGAGCAGAGTCCTGGGTTTGCCTCAGGAGAGGCCATGGGAAAGCTATTGGAGAAGTATCTGGGAGGAGAGGCCAAAGCGGCAGCTGTTATTTCTCCAGCCAAGAACATTCCACATGAATGCCGGATTGAGTTGAAGTGTGTGTGTGTGTGCGCGCGTGTGTGTGCACGCGTGCGTGTGTGTGCGCGCATGTGCGTTGGGGACATGTGTTTACATAAGTGTAAATTTATCTCTGTGTATCTCTTTCTGCTTTTACCTCTTGCCCTGCATCTCTCCTGCCTTCCTTCCAGGCCCTGTCTGGGTATGTCAGCCCTCTCTTCATTTTTGCAGATGTGCAAAACCATGACTGCTCTCTACTTCAGATGCTCTGAAGTCCATGCCAAATATGTAATTTTCCTCAGCTCTTGGTAACTCCTGTCACTTTCTTCCAGCCTCGCTCTGACTCATGCAATGATTTCAGCACCTGGGGTACACTGTTTTTCTCTCCGTTTCTCCCCTGGTGTCCTTGCTGATAAATGTTGTGCCCTCTGGGACTCTACACACATCCTTCTCTCACTCACACGCTCTGCCTCCAGGTCAACTCAGTATGCTCACCCTTTCCAATCACAACTTCCTCACCTCTATCTTCTTCCCTACTTCAACGCTTTGGTTCTTTATTGATAGTACTTTCCCTCCCACTTATGTTGTTTCCAATTCTGCTCAGACTGCAGCGTGGGCCTGGAGTTGGAGACACCTGGGTTAAACGTAGGCTCTTCCAGCCTCAACCAGATGGACTAACCCCAGTGACAGCCACCCTGGGCTTGGGCGTGACAGAGACTTGAGGACGGTTCAAGATAGGGCAAGGCTCAGATCTGTGGTTCACAGGGTCACAATGAGTCACAGTTGACTTGACAGCACCTAACAACAACAACAACTTCCACTTATTTCCTGTGCAAGCTCTTTAACTTTCTCTGAACCTTGTCTAAAATTCTTCTGTCATGGGGCCATGAAACCAACAGAGAGTGGGCTGTTAAGTATGAGCTTTCAGTAAAAGAGTGTGTGTGAGCTGCTGCTGGCTTCTTCCCAGCGTCCTTCGGGCAAGTACTTCATTTCTCTCCATTGACAAGTGGTTCTTTGACGAATCACACTGAGTTCCTGACATTAATTTACTGATACCTTACTACGAGCGAGACACAGTGGCCACATCAATAGAACACACCAAAACACCTCACTTGTGGTTCTTACATTTTGGAGGAACCTAACAATTAGGCATATTTATATATGATAGAAATAGTAGTTAACTTTCAAAATGTTCAAATGGATTTTGTTATCTGTTCAGTAGAATACAGAAGCATCAAGACTAAGGGCACGAAGACTGGAGCTAGGAAGACCCAGTTCAAATTCCATCTCTGTCACTCGAGAGTTATACGATCTCAATCTCCCTGAGGTCATTTTCTCACCAGTAGCTGGGAATATGATTATGTCTCTCACAGGGTTGTAAAGGAATAAAGGAGATGATGCATGTAAATCATTTCGCACAGGTCTAAACACATAGCCAGTGCCAGACAAGTTGTCCATATCATAGAATTCGGGAGGCATTACTGTCATTTACTGATATCGTTCTTGCTTTCATACGGCCATATGGCTCTTCTAGTGCACGGTCACTGCTCACAATTCAGAAATACTTTCTGCATTAGAATTGGACAAAGTCTGATGATTATATATATATTTTTTTGCCACTGAATTTAACCACCTGTTTGATTTTGTACACCTTAGTCTTGCTTTTCTAACTAGATGATAAACCTCTTTGGACAAGGAGCCATGTTTTATGCTTTGCTTCTATCCACTGCTTATAGCCCACCATCTACCACAATCTCAATGACCACCTCCTGGGTAAAGCTTGACCTTCAATAAGAGAAGGAGGTCAAAGGAGGTCGAAGGAGCTCTAGGGTCTGCAAGCTCTGGGGAAAGGTGGCAGAGAGAGGGAAAGCAGAGGGAAAAGCGAGTGGAGAGGATGACTTTGTTCATGGGCAATAACTTTGTCTCCCCGTTAAAGCCGGGGGTCCTGGCGAGCTGCCTTTACCTCTGTCTTTCCCATTCTGCATCTTCTCCTCTTCTTCCTCTGCACCTTCCTCTGCTGTGAAAACAAGTCCAAGGAGGCCAGTGACCCTTCCACCCAGCAGAAGCACAGGAGGAGGGTGAAGGGAGCCCTCTGTGAGGCTGGGGCACGAAGGCCCATGGTGGGCTTGTGACTGCAGACCCCTGAGGGTGGCTGGCCTCCCCTAGGCTGTACCGTAGTAATCCAAACCCCAGCATGGTTTAACAGGAGCCGCGCAGATGCCGAGGGCAGCCTGCCAACACCAGTCCTTCTGCTGGCTCTGCCTCTGGAGCCCCGGGTGACCAGGGACGAGAGGGACCTGTCTCTTTATGCCTGTCTGCCCTGAGGTGACAATATCTACCAGGGACACATCTTATGTCCTACATTCAGGTTCAGTAAGGCAACCATAGTGCAAGGTGAGGAAAACCTCGAATAACAATGGCTTCTGTCGGGTGCCAGGTGACAATCAATGTAAAGTGACTCAACAGTGTGATGCAGTGCTGTGGAGTAAATGCTAATGCCATCCTTGACTGCTCCGCAGGGTCCGGCTCAAAGGAAGCCCAAGGATTCATTGTGCTGCACAGTGAGGAGACCCCTGTGCTTGGCCTTGGCTTTGAACAAAGGCCTTAGGAAACAGGGTCACACTCAAACAGGATGACCACATGTGAAAATTATGTCACAGTAGGAAGGTCGAAGGAGTTGAGTAGTTCACCCAAAGAAGATGTGAGGACAATGGTTGTTGCCATCAAATAGTTGAAAGGCTAACATGAAGCTCTGGCGACCCAGTGGTAGCTCACGGAGCCTAGTGGTAAGGAGCTGTGTTGCCAAGCTAAAAGCACATGGTTCAAATCTACGAGCTGCTCCATGGGAGAAGGATGTGCAATCTCCTCCTGTGTGACTTACAGCCTCTGAAAGGCTGCTGGAGGGTCAGCTATGGGTCTGCTCTGACTCAACAATGCATAACAACAAAAACACAATGAAGGGGGACTGAACTTATTGTGAATAGTGTTAGAAGATGAAACAAGAACAAGTTAGTTACAGACAGACAGATTTGGTTTCACAGTAAGGAAGAACTTCCTGATGATTTGAGCAGGTCATGAATGAGATGACTGAAAAGATTCAAACAGAAGACTATTACAGTGGGTGGCAAGCTGGATTAAGTGACTTCTAAGTTCAGTTCCAATTCCAGGGTTCTAGTCTTTTTGAAAATATTTTTTTTTAACAAAGGTCAAGGGATCAAGCTCTGTGTATATACGCATGCAGTGTAAGTACATATAGATTATCTGAATACCTAATCTCATCTGAACAAATACAACTGTCAAGGAGACAGAGAAAAGGTGCTGGCATTGGGCAAGGCTCTTGCACTCATCCAGAACCTGGCACCGTTTTCCACGACCACGGAGACAGATGTGGACGTCGTGCATGTCTACACACAGCCTCAGGGCTCGGGGGAGTTAACCGTCAGTGAGGGGGCCCTGAAGGGACTGCATACTTGACATCTTGTGTGCTGTGTGACAATGACTGTGTCATGGTGATCATTGGCTTAATGCTTCCAAGACCTGCATTCTTGGATGAGCTTTGCCCCTTCAGGCTGCATGACTCAGTCTTACTTCTCTGATAGTGCTCGCCGCATTTTGGCAGTAAGCACATGATCTGTAGGGGACCTTCCAGATGACGTAACATCGTTTTGTTCACATCGCCCTTCCCTAGCATGAGGGACTGCCGAGCACCTCTGTAACTTTGAATTCTTGTGAAGCAACGTGCTCTCTCTGTGCTTTATGCTTCATGAGGTGTGATTACTTCACTTCCTAGGGCAAAAAACAGGGGTCACAGCGTGGTGATTTTCCATGGTTTGGGATCCCCTTAGAAGCATCTTCTAAAAGTGGCATTTCTGGCAACTGTGGGGAGATGAATTCTGGCATCTGCGGGGAGGTGTATTAGAGAAGGGACCTTTTAATCACTGATGAAGTCATCCCCAAAGGCTGCCAGGTCTTCAGCATGGACTGTGCACACAGAGGAGGGAAGTGGGGGGGGGGACACACACGGGACAGTGCTACATACAGCTCTAGCATCTGAGCCTAATGACATTTGGAAAACCATGCGAGACTGCACTCGAAATTTTCCTCTAAATGACAACGGGCAAATTTGAGAATGATATTGTGGACCGGATCTTGAGCTGGTCCCATGGAAACACTGAAGGTCTATGTTTCCTCTATTAAGGGCTGAAGAAATATCCATGGTTTGTGTCCCTAAGATTGTGGATTGATGGCTCAGAGTATGTGTCTGAATAAGTGTGTGCTCCAATAATCCACAGAACACTATATTTTTATTTAATAACAGTGTTAAGCCACCTCAGTGTATTTTAAAGCACCATATTAAGTCAAGGGCACTTATTAAGTGAAGGATGTAGGCTATTGAGAGTTGCTGGCTAATCTAAAAACTGTACCTGACAGTTCAAATTCACCAGCTACCACTCAGGAGAAAGATGGGCAATCTCCTCTTGTGAGATTTCGTCTCTGGAACCCCCTGGAGGGTCAGCTGTGAGTGGGTTCGGACTTGAATGGCGAGTGAGAGAGTGAATGCCATTTTTTTCTCATTGCCATTGAGTTGGAACGGACTCATAGTTGACCTTCAAATGGGTCTTCAGAGATTGAAAAATGGCATGAGAAGAGACTGTCCATCTTTCTCCCTTGGAGCAGCTGCTGGATTCGAACTGCCTGCCTTTGGGTTGGCAGCGCCACTCCTTCCTAGACCACCTGAGCTCACTAAATGACATCAAGTGAACAAAACAGAGGGCCGACTGCATAAGTGACCTACAGTACTTAGAAGGGAGCCTGTGTGTTCAATATATGAACAAATATATTTGCCCCACCATGGCAAATAAACAAACCCCCCCCAAAACCCTCCCCAAACCAAAAGACCTGATGACTCTCCAGCAGCTACATAACAGAAGGACTCAGGGAATTCTTGGAGATAAAACAAAGTGTGAATGGCTTTTCCTCTGCCTGCCTCGCTCTCGGGTCTTAGATTAGCAGAAAGCATGCCATGAGGTAAAGGGCTCTGGGAAGTCACTGACATAGCCAGAGTGAAGGGCAGACGAAAAAACACATCGCTGAGGTTGAAGGAGGGCAGAAAGCAGGAGAGCTGTGTCGTGAAGTTGTAGTGAAACCAGAGGCTGGTCACAGACAGAGGAAGGAATAGGGTTTGAAAACCAAATCAACTAGGAGAGAGCAGAAAGGCAGCCTGGAGAAGGTCCAGAAGCTGAGTGGCCAATTCGGTTCCAGACGTCCAGGAACGCTGCAAAGCGAGATGGCTGGTCAGGCCTAGGAAAGAGCAGCTGTAGATGGAGCACAGATGGGAGACAAAGCAAGCGAGGGAGGGCCTAGCTGTACGTGAAGACTGGAGCGGCTTTAAATTCTCAGTGGTGTTTGCAACACAACACACACACTAGTAGGATAAACCTCAATGTGTCATTGTCTCTGTGTGGTCACGTGTGAGAGAGAGGCTGAGAGAAGACATCCAGTGTGTTCCTAGAAAGCAAAAAGATGGAGTGGCAAAATGAGACGACGTGTGCCACAGGAGAGAGCTCTGCGGGCGCCGGGAGGATGCAGGGGTCCGTGGGGAGGGAGGGGATGACTGAGGCGGCGCGGGAGCTTGTTTCACCTGAATGAAGCTCCTTCACCAGGGATGACATGGTGTTGGTGATGGAGTCAGCAGCCACCAGCAGGTCATTGCGGAGGTTTCTCCTCGTACCTGAGGAGAGGCAGAGCAGATGGCGGTGCCAGGGTGGGTGGGGATGGAGACGGGCCGGCCGAGCAAAAGCCTCACATCTGCCCGGCCCCTGGACACAGGCGCTGAGGACCTATCAGAGACGGGCCATGGGCCTGCTCCTCACCATCGGGCACATGAGGTTCCCAATCCACTGTCGTCCACCCTCCCCACTTCACTGAGGAGCAGAACCCCTCACTTCTGTGCTTCATACAGTAAGAAAAGTGCTCCAGGACAAGCATCACATTAAGGTATTTCTCCGTCTTAGGCAGGCCTGTGCTCTCTAATACCAGTGTTTCTAGCCCCAACAAAGCTTTGTTCTTCACCGGTTTTTTTCTGCCCCCACCCAACTACTTAATATTGCTTAATATTACCATGCCTATGTGCAGAGCTAGGTCCTAATTGGAATACAACTCTTTTCTCTGGCTGGCTCTCAGAGCCTTCCGGGTCAGACACAGACATGGAATATGGCTCCATCCAGTTCTGTACAAGGAGGCCGACCCCAAAGGACAAGCCTTTCCCACAGGCCAGCAGAAAGAGCACAGGAGGCCCCTCTTCACACACAGCCAATCGCTGAGGAGCAGCCCATCTAATGGGGAGGGGCCAGCACTTCATACACACTGACTATGAAGCTCCAATTCTTCAAAGCTAAGCACAAAAAAGACCAGGAACTGGAAGGGTCTCTCCAGGAATCTTGTGCACGCTTCCAAACCCTCTGGGCTCCATTACACTCTGCTTCAGAAACTCACCTTGTGCGAAAGCCTCTTGCACATCTCCCCCAACCCCAGTCAGGGAGTCCTGGGGGCAGTGGGTGGGCGTGGAGCCAGCGGACGTGGAGCGGACGGGCATGGGCATCGAGCGGCCGCCTCCGTGCGTGGGCGACGTGTGTGGAGACCCTGTGGCTTGAGCCTGGGGGAGCCAAAGAGACAAGCTGTTATCTTAGGGTGTCCTGCTTCTTTGAAGAAAGGAAAAAGTCCTGTCTCCTGGTTCATGTGGGTCAACCAGCTGAGCTTTTCAGTGGGGCAATGCAGCACTTGGTTATATTTGAAAGGAAGGAGTCAGGCTGCCTCCAGGGCTGGAGAGGGGAAAGGAAGGAGGATAGATTGGGGGAGGGAGAAGGGGGAGAAGAACAGAGAGAATCAGATGAACAGACTCCAAATGGGAGTGAAAGAAAACACAGAGAGGCAGGGGGTCTTCAGACAGAGCAGAGGAGTGGGGTTACAGACTGAAGAGGACTTGGGATCACACAGTTAGGAAAAACAGTTACATCTTTCATTTGTCTGCAAACATTCATATACAATATTTCACTTGGTCTTCATAATAACTTGTGAGTAAAAAAATGCATTTACATCTTATATCTCTTTTCTAGAAGGAAAATAAAGATGCAATGAGTAGGAGCTGTGTTAAGCTGCACAGCATGTCAGTGGGAGAGTTTTGAATAACTGCTCAGGGCTCCAAGGGCGAAGGAATGTTCTCTGCACCACTGCTGCTCCGCACCCCATGGAGCAGACTCCCCGAGTATGTGTGTGAGGAGCTCGGCCGTAGGCTGCTGCCCAGAGGCCAGGCTCACAGGCTTGTCCCCACACCCCAGTCCCTCACACGTACACAGGGGACTTCCACGAGAAGGATGGACAGATGTGATGTGGACAGACTTTTCGGGAAGGCCCATGTAGTTTTAGAAGAAATCTGGAGACAAAGGTAACAAAATACAAGAAGACAACTCCAGACAGTGAGGCTCTCTCCTCACTGAAATGTGGGCTCTGCTGCTCTTCAAAGTAATAGAAATGGACATAAGGCACACATGTTGTGGGTTTGGGTGCTACTAAAGCTTTGGGGGAAAAAGCTAAAGTATGAGTTCAAATGAAGGTAAGTAACTTTCTGGGGATCCAGATACAAAAGGTTTGCACAAAGAGACTCTGTCCTGACTGGTCTGTATACAGGCGCCTGGCCACCAGGAGCATCCGCAGTGCCTCAGTCATGGGTGAGCAGAACTAAGCAGAAAAAGTCTGTTCTTTTCAACAGTAGTTCTCACTCTGAATTGTAAGTACTTTAAAAAAATAATTGAGAAATGCACAAAAATATAGAAAATTTAAAAAGTATCAGTATGGGAGGAAGACTCCTACACAATTTACTTTGTGCAGATGACAGACCTTGCTTGTAGAAAGTGAAGAGGATCAGAGAATGCAGCCGTTAGTATGAATTACATCTCAACATCAAGAAAAGAAAATTCCTTCTAATTGGATTCATAGGATGTTATGATAGATGGAGAAAAGAATGATGTTGTCAACAATTTAATCTTGGATCCATAATCAGGACCCATGTAGCAGAAGTGAAGAAATCAAAAGATGTGTTACACGGAAAAACTTAACTGTCAAAGATCTCTTTAAAGTACTAAAAACTGAGGCTGTTACATTAAAACCTTAATGAATCTGATCCAAACCATGGTATTTGCAATTCCTTCCTATGCATTTGAAAGTTGGACAATGAATAAGGATGACTGAAGAAGAATCGATGCCTTTGCATTGTGGTGTTGGAGAAGAGTACTGAATATCCCACGGACTGGCAAAGAGAACAAACAAGTCTGTCTTGGAGCAAGTACAACCAGGGTGCTCCTTAGAGGCAAGGCTGGTGAAACTTGGTCTCACAGATTTTGGCATGCTGTCTTTAGGGACCAGTCCTTAGAAAAAGGCATGATGCTAGGAAAAGGAAAGGACCAGCACAACAGGAAGACACCTATAATAAGAGGGACTGAGACAGTGACAACAACAATGGCTTGAACATGGCAGAGACTCAGGATGGTGCAGGATAGGCCAAGGTTTCATTCTGTTTGCTGGGTCACTGTGCTACAGTTAACTTGACTAACAACAACTGCTAAAGTAAGACACAGTAAGCCTTTCCAATGAATCAGAAGACAAACTGCACTGGGAAAATCTGCTGTCATGGACCTCTCCAGAGTGCTGAAGAGCAATGATGTCAGTCTAGATACAAAGGTGCGCCTAATCCAGGCCATGGTCTTCTCAGTTACTTGTTATGCTTTAGAGAGTTGGACAATGACTAAGGATGACAGAAGATTAACTGATGCTTTTGAGTTGTGCTGGAGAAGAGTCTTGAACATACCATGGACTGCCAAGAACACAAATAGGTCTGTCTTGCAGAGGGTGAAACCAAGTCTCTCCTTGGAGTCTAGGATTTTGAAGCTCTGCCTCATTTACCTTGGGCACGTGGCTAGGAGAGATTGGTTCTTGGAGAAGGACATCATGCTTGAAAGGGTGGAGGGACAGGCAGGAGAGGAAGACCCTTGATGAGATGGACTGACACTGGGGCAATGGGGGTTGGTGTGTCGGAATTAGCGAGACTGGCTCAGGACAGGAAAGGGTTCAGAGCTGCTGTACATCACAGGCAACTCAATGGCACATAACAACAATAACATACGATGACAAGTTTGGAAGCAGGAATGGCATCTACTTCCTAGACAACAAGCTTCTAGAAACTCTATGAACTTTGATAAATGTTGATAGTTGTAGGGAGGCTTCAGGCCTTTTTTGTTCACAGGGTCACTATGAGTCGTGCTCGATTCTAGGCAATCAAATACAACAACAACAACAACAAATATTAAAAAATATTTTAAATTTATTTTTAAAATTCATTCACTGTTGCATATTTTCCTTTCTTCCCTTCCCCCAGTCCACTCTGCAATGCACCCCTTGCTCCAGATTGTTGTCATACATATAATGCCTAATCATTTATTCCTTCCAGACAGTCCTTCCTCTCAGTTCCAATGCCGTGTTCATTATCTAGCCACTCTTCTCCCATTCTCCCCCAACTCCCCATGTCAGTCCTATTATTAACATGTGCCAAATTTATTTTAACCTGAAAATAATAAAATTTGGAAACAGGTTGGTGATTATGGTACAACATAAAGAATATAATTACAATGAATTAGACATATAAAAATGTGCAAAATGGCAAATTTGGGAGAGGGACATCATGCTGGGGCAGGTGGAGGGACAGCGCAGGAGGGGAAGACCCTCTATGAGATGGATTGATTCGGTGACTGGGGTAATCGGGATGGGTGTCTCAGAGGCAGTGTGGTTGGCTCAGGATAGAGCAGGGTTTAGGGCTGTTGTGCATAGGGTCGCTATGAGTCGCAAACGACTCGACGGCACATAACAACAAACAACATATGTGTCACCAAAATCTATATATGAGATATCTGATGTCTTTGAGAACTAATTCTATCCAATTCCATCACTTCTTCTTAGGTCATCAGAACAACTACTATAAAATATTTTGATGTGAAACTTTATACATTTGTTCATATTACCTATCAATAATTTATAACATTTCCTATATTAAAATTCTACATCTATAGTATCATGTAATTATACAACTTGCCTTTTATCATTTACAGCAAAATAAGAACTCATTAACATCAAGTCAGAATCCACTCACAGCAGATCCTCCAGTGGGTTTTCAGAGGATGTAAATCGCATGGGAGGAGACTGCTCATCTTTTTTTGTGGAACATCTATTTGGTGGATACAAATCACTTGTCTTTGAACTGACAGTGCAACTCTTTACCCACTATGCCACAGAGTTCCCTAGCATAGCTTAAAAACATATTTCCATGATACAAATAAAGACGAGCGCAAATCTTTACCTCACATCTGATACAGAAATGAACTCAAAATGGATCATACCAAACATAAAAGGGGTAAAAACACAACTTCTTAAACAAAATAGGAGAAAAATCTTTGTGACTTTGGATAAAGAATTGTTATACAGAATATTAAAAACATGATCTATAAAACAACAAAAAAGAAAATGGAATTAATAAAAAGTTTTGATCTTAAAAACATTAAACATCAGATGCTAAAATGAACTCAAACAGATCTAAAACCAAAGTGTAAAAGGTAAAACTATAAAACTTTTAGAAGAAACTACAGGGAGCTCTGGTGGCCTGGTGGCAAAAAAGCTGCACTGTAACCCAGAGGTATGTGGTTTGAATCATCCAGATGCTTTGCCGGAGAAGGAGGGTAATCTCCTCCTGTACCAATTAGAAATGATTTGACAGTACACACACACACACACACACAATAAAATTTAAGAAAAACCTTTTTACGTATAATTCTTCATGACCTTGCATTAGGCAATAATTTTTCAGATATGACCCAAAATGAGTAAGCTACAAAAGAAAGAAATAACCTGGACATCATAAAATTTTAAAAAAACCAACCCAACAACAATCTGAAACAAGCTGTGCTGTAAAAGATACAATCAAGAAAGAGAAAAGAATCAGGAAAGAATAAAACAGATGAATGCGACCTTCTAAGAATCAAATCTCTATGTATGTCAAAAAACTTCTCCAACCGGGTAGTAGGGAAACCCACAGATTGGGTAAAAAAATATTTGTTAATGACATATTTGATAAAAGGGACTTATATTTAAAATTTATAGAGTGCTCCAGAACCTCAACAAGAAAAATGTAAACAATCCAATCACAAAATGGGCACAGGATATGAGCAGGCACTTCATGAAAGAGAACATTCAGAAGGCAAACAAACACATGAAGAAATGTTCAAAATCTCTAGCTGTGAGAGAGATGCAAATAAAAACAATTATGAGATATCATCTCAGCCCAGCAACAATAGCGACAAAGTTCAACAGAGCAAAAATTACAAATGCTTGTGAGGTTGTAGAGAAATTGGAACACTTATTGACTGCTGGTGGGAATGTAAAATGGCACCCATATATGGAAGGATGTCTGGCACTTTCTCAAAAAGTTGGAAATAGAAATACCATTTGACTGAGCAATTCCAATACGAGGAATATACCTGAAAGAAACCAGAGCTGCCACCCAAAAAGATGTATGCACACCCTGTTTATTGCCGCATTATTAACAACAGTAAA